GTGTGTGTGTGTGTTTGCATCAAACAAAATTAGAAAACATGAAAAAAAAAAAATAACCAACCATTGAACCGACCAGGCAAAACAGAAACAGAAACAGAAAAGAAACAGCAAACTGCAAAAAACCAATTCAACCATGTTAATAAAAATTGTAAATTAAAACTTTACCGATGGTTGCTTGTTCGCTATAGCGAACGAGCAAATACGAAATGAAATGAAATGAAAAAGAAATGAAAAAGAAACGGGAAATAATAAAAATTGATAGCCAATAATGATGTTAACATTTTGAAAATCTATTTCTATTTCTATTTCAATCCATATCGTTTGTACAATACACACACACACACTGACAATGAAAATCATCATCATCATTATTAAACGATTGATACAATAGATTTTTGTGTTTTGTTTCATTGAATTTTTCGGTGATTGAATAGGATATCGATTCTTATTGGTGTGTGTGTGTCCGGATATATTACAAATCTTACAGAATTCTGTGATTCTGTGATTCTCTCTCTTTCTCTCTTTCTCTATTCTGCGATTCTGTGATGGTAGTGATGATGATTTTCATTTCAACAACGATGATGATGTTATGATGTTTTCAACCCCCCTCTCCCCCCAAAAAAGCCACAAAAACAAATTATTATTATTATTATTACAAATTTACACGCGAATAAAATCTTTTTGTAAATATTTAGTCACTTTTTCTCACTTTCTATATCTATCTACACATACATTGAAAGTTTGGTTTTGTTTCAGGGTTTTTGTGTAAATATCCGAAAAAAATGAATTGAAAAGCAAAATTCTGGCACACATGTGACATTCATGAATGTAAACTTTGCAATATGAAATGAAATGAAACACGTGCTTTGAATGTGCCGGTATTATTNTTTTTTTTTTTTTTTTTTTTTTTGGCCAAACAGATTCTGTGCCCTTCATAATACACACACAGTGGACATTATCATCAGTATCAATTCTGGAATTGAAAATTCTTGTTTTGGCTAATTCTATAGCCTAAACATAACAGAACAGAATCGGCGTGTAGCAACGAGAAACACCCCTCACCAAAAATAAAAAAAAATCCTAGATTCCCCCCGAAAAGAATTCTATAAGGCATCATCATCATCATCAACGTCCATTTTTTACTTTCCAAGAAACTTTCCAAGAATTTTTTTCTTTCTTTCTTTCCAAAATTCTTCTTTCTTTAGTTTGCTGCTTTCATCATCATCATCGACATCAACAGAGGGAAAAAAACACCCCTCACTACTACCAGCTACCCAGAATTTTTTTATATTTGGCCTAAAAAAAAATTCTATAAACCAAAAGCAAAAACGAGAAAACGAAGAGAAAAAGATTCAGGCAAACATAAACGATAAAATGAAGAGAGAGAGAGAATGAAAAAAAACGATGCATTTGCGTGAGTTTCATTTTCATTTTCATCATTCAATTCGCTCATTGCCATCACAAAGAATGATGATGATGATGATGATGAAAAGCAAGCAAGCAAGCAAAAAAACGAAACGAATAAAAACTCGAATGTAAATATTGACACAAGTTTTTTTTTCTCTGTTCAATGGTGATGATGATGATGGTTATGATGATGATGGCGATGATGATGATGATGATGATGATGATGGCGTAAAGACCTTTCCCAATAGGCAAAAAAAATCTTCTCTATATTTTTTTTTT